CCAGATGCGTAAAGAGATAGTGCTTTCACCCCCTCAGGAAAAAAATGCCAGTCTGCAAAACAAAATTCTTGGAGCACTTGCTTGCATGATTTATCATAAGTTATTGTCATTTGCTGTGGGTGGCAGCAGAGAAGGCTTGGGGAATTCCTGGGAAAAAGAACAACTCCCAATGCTTCATCTCAGATACAGCTTTTCCTGGTTGTGGTCTACCAAAGAACATTTTATAGTGTTTGCAATAAAGGTGCTACAGGTAACTGGGGAAAAGAGAACATTTGCTGCTAAGTAATTAAAGTTCCTGCTAAGCCATTTTACTTGCTTAGAGGCTTTTAAAGACCGCTGCAAAATCCATTTACAATTCAGTAACCTTGCTTCTTTGGAAGCTACATATCACTCCCCTCTTTATTCTTTGACAGGGATAGGAGAAGAACAAATAGTCCCTAGAATATCCAGGTATATTTAGATAGCCTACATTTACTTCAGCAGCATGATCTCTGATGGATGTGGTGCCATGAAGCATGACACAGATCTATGTGAAGGATGCCATTTAGCAGCACACAGACAGTCCAAGTTATTTATGGAAGAACTAGTGTTGTGTATTGTTTTGCCTGTAAAAATTGTACATATAACTCAGAGTTGAGGTGTGAATAACGAAGGAATCAAAATTTTATAGCTTACTTGGTGTGGCTGAGAAAAATAACAAGACTTGTCAAGGCAGAGCAAGGAAATGTCTGTGTTGTCCCCATAAATCTTCTGGCTGGTGTGCATGCCATGGACACCACCGAATATAAGCCCTGCTTACAAGGCAGTAACGTGACTTGTTGGACCAGGGGATGTATGAAAATTAAACACCATTCTTCCACTGCCATGTCTAACCAAAATCAGCTCTTCAGTAGAGGAATGGCATGAATGCAGACTGCAGGTGAACTAAAGCCCTTGGTAGAGATCAGCTCTAGACCACAGCAGCATTTCAGCCACAGGGGCTGCCACAGTCTTTGGATTTTACTCGGGTAAATGCGTAGCACCGTGGTTGCAAACGGGTCTTCCTATGACCTCTCTTGAGAATGTAAGTGTGTGCCTTAACCTGTCTCAGAAGAGAATCCCACAACTCAGCAACCCTCAAACTGAACTAAGTGCTGAGGTACTTACCTCATTAGGATCTGGGAGACCTAACTGGCCAGGGTATATCTCAGCCTTTGCCTTTGATTACAGTAGCAAGAGGAAATCTGAGTATCCAGGCAGACTCACACCAAAGCAGTGCTTGTCCTTAACCTATTATATTAAGGAAAGGTATGTTTCAATAAAGCAAGGTATATTTCAATAATTTTTTTATCTATAACAAAAGGCTTAAATACTCAGCTTTGAGGTAATTTACCTTACCTCAAAAACAAGTGGGACTATCACTCCGTTACAATTTTCAGCAACTATCTAGCATCTGCGTGGAGAGATTTCTACTGTCAATAGTCCTGCACGTACGTTGGTTCTCAAAACAAGTAGTTTAACCTGGCTAGAGCCCAGAGGTTGGCTCTAGCCAAATTCATGCCCACTAGCTCTACCTATATGAGCTCTGTGCTCTTACTGTCTCCTACCACACCTTCAAGTACTTTATCTCAAAGTACTGCTTTTGTTTAAATTTTTTTTTACAACAATCCGTCAGTAAAATAAATCAATAGAACTACATAGCAAGAATCTCAACAACAGATCTTAATTTGAGGAATGAATAAAATCTCTGGAACAGACTTCCACATCTGGTAACTGAGATGACATGATCCAAAGTTATTGCAGTGAAAGCTGAAATACAAATAAAGAGACAGAAAAGTCCCTACTCGTACTGTGACTTTAAGGTGGTTATATGGTGCCTTGAAATAGAGATGCTCAGATCCTGTTACTGAAACTGTCCTTGGTATAAAAATAATGTCTGGAAACAACAAATGCAATGCAGAACCACTTTATATCATGTCTTTTTAACAATGTGCACTCCAGTCAGTCTCATGGACAGAAATTCATGGAGCCAAATTAAAACAGCTCAGCACAAGCAGAAAAACTTCAGGGAACTTAGCAGAAGAATTTCTGTGAGATAAGATCCCACATAGACAGAGAATGGATGGGAGACCACCATACCAAGAGACAAAAGATGACTTGTCTAGTCAGTGAGAACAGCTGATAAGGAAGACCTGGCTTCAAAAAACTGTAAAATCACATCTAGGAACAGAAGAAAGCATGGAAAGAAAGTTGGGGAAGGAAGCAGAAAGAAAGTTTTGTTCAATAGACAGGAAAAGGTGCAAAGCACATTTTATAACAAAATTATAAAGAGCAGGTTGACTTCCCGCACTTAAGGATCTGTTTTCACAACTGTTGAGTTGTGACTTAAATTGGTGGAAATCTAGGGAAGTTTCTTTCAAAGATCATCAAAGGTGGAGTCGACAAGGTTAAGGTCAACCACTCACATAGTGCTTTGCTAGACATAACTTCAGCTCAGATATTTTTTTTATTCTCTCTTTTCATCAACTACTCACCTGAAGATTTCTGCAGAAGAAAGCAGCAGTATACATTGGTATATATGTAACTAAGGCAAAGGAGAATGCTGAATTGTTCAACGTTGATACATTCAAACGACTTCAAGATAAGAACCCAGTGACAATTGCCATTGTTTATTGTTTGCCAAGTAATGAAAAGTTAACAACTGGAAAGCCAGCAAGTTGGAAAGAACACTTTAAAGAGGGACTTGCAGACACTGCTGCATTACCTCATTCACAATCTCTTGGGGAAAATTGGGGATGCAAATAGGTTTTAGCATTGCTCAGTGAACACACCACACAGCTGGCACCGATTGTGACACAGGGCTCTGCGACAATGTAAACCAGAAGTTTTGCCATGAGAACCCACCTAGCAAAGGCAGCATTTTCCAGTGCACTTCAGTTTGGGGAGCCAATTTTAAGAACGTGCTACAGAGACGAGGCAAGCTGTATTGGCTACAGACCAACCAAATGGTGCCTCGGGAATATGTCTTTTTGCCCGCTGAGGTTGGGATCAGTGCTGATGACCAAACACCACCACAGAACCCAGCAGAAAACCACTCTTCTTCACTGACCTAAGTTCTATGTACCATCTTGACTGTCAGGTGAGGGAAACCCTGTTGCCATTTAGCTTCTGTACTTGGAGATCCTATTAGCCAGGATATATTAGTTGCTTTGACTGCACTACACTTATCACAAATGCAAATGAACATTAATACAGTTAAGAATCTACAAGTGACTGGCAGGCAGCTAACCACAAGCATCTTTTGAACAAACATTTTTGCATACGCTAGACTTTTGGATGTTTGGGCTTGAATGCCTCAAATATCAGGTTTAGATCATCACCTGTACTGCCAGCAGGGACTAACTGGCTCTTGAATATCCCGGGTGCAGCCTGAGTCTCTGACAGAAACTGGACTTGGTATGACAGCTTCTTACGACTACAGAGATCACTGAGATTGTGTCAGGCTGCAGAAGATGGACAAGTCATGTTCAGTTTAGGATCTCTCATAGGCACTTAGTGACCTGATTTCTCTGATGATGCTTTCAGAGGATGACCAGATGGCATTGTGAATATAAGGTGCTTATCCCACAGCAAATCTCTGGCCTTCGCCACTCCCTTGTGGAAGATCAGCCTGAAAACGTGGAATTAAATCTCTCACACCTGAAGATATTCACAGTCAGTGCATCTTTAACACATAAACATGCGTTGGCACAAGGCTTGAATGATGACTTGGACAAATCCATATCCAGACACTCAAATTTTTTGGCAGAGAATCCCACCACTGAGACACTGAAAACAGCAGTAATTTGGGGGAATTCCTTCTGTGCTGACAGCCCTGCTCTAAGATCAAAAGACAAAGCATGAGGAGACAGTTGTGTGTTCAAAAACAACGTATGTTATGGCTGCCATAACTCTTATAATACTGAAGGGCTACTGGAAACCACAGACATACACGGGTTGGAATCAACACCCTTGCTCATGTCACTTAATGTAGGACTAGAGAGCTCTCTTTGTTCCCCACCAGTATTTTAAAAAATACTTGATGAGTCCTGCAGAAAAATTAGCTGTGATAGAGACAACTACTCACATCTAATATGAACTGGTTGATCTGAGGCAAAAAAGACTGAGAGTTTTCCCCTCACCTTCAGCCTACAAGAGAAGAGTCATTGCTAAGCTTTGGACAAACTCTTCTCAGAACAAACTTCAGTGAAAGCTAGATATGAAGCCGATCGGTGTTCACCCTTTGAGAATACTTTGCTAAAACTATTCATGAGGTGGTAGTAAGTGGTAATGTCAGCCAAAAGAGAATCAGGCAACACATCTCCAGACTTGATCCAATGAACACTGAAGTCACCAGGCGTCTTCCACTCAGCTTCGGCAAGAGTTAACTTATAATACAGAAATCTACAACAGGAAGTGTTCGTCCCTCTGCTTTTATGTTCCACCTGAATTTATCATTTGAGATGATGTTACCCATGCAGGAATTTGGTTTTCCTTGGCAAGTGCCATCACAAGAAATTGCCATGGTAGTCCATAATTTGGATAAATAGACCTTCTCCAGAGCTAAAATCTTGACCTCTTCAACTATATGTGGGCCTTTGCATCAGTTGTGGGCCACACAGTCTAGAGGGCAAAAGGTCAAAGAGCAAGAGTCCCCATTACACCTTTTGGAGTTACATTTTGTATAAAGAATACACAATTTTATTTCTTCTAATACCCACTTTGAACGAAGAGACACCAAAACCTCTCTCTGCCCCAGAAATCCCTGTCAGCACGAATAATTTCTCCTGTGCTCCTGACAATTCATAGTCATAGCACGTGGGTTAGACTAGATGATCTCCAAAGATCCTTCCAACCCCTATGATTCTGTAATTTGGTGCTGGCTGGTGGCATTAAGCTCTAAACAAAGCAAAACGCCACCTGGCTCACTTAGCTGACAAGGTCAGACCAGGATCCAACATCTGTTCTGGCAGGCATAGAAATACTTCAGAAACATCTTTATTGGAACTTCAAGGCTGTGCAATTTTCATGCTTGACAGCCGAATGCACACAAAAACACAAGATACAAACAAATGCATTTGTCAGCTTGGACAAGCTAAATTTACTACTTTATATAAGCATGCAGCTTGTGTACTTTGAAAAGCCACTGAGCAAATGTCTCCCCTCAGGTAATGCCAAACAAATATACATGTAAGTGAAAAGAAAACAAAAGGAAGAACAGACGCCTGTAAGTGAAGACATGATCAGATGGTAGCTCTGTTCTACCACAAGGGAACGTGGCCTGGTACATAAAAGTCAAACTCTGTTGAGGAATCACCTTCAGGGGCTGACACATGACATCCCCATACCTCTTGATGAGGCAAAAAAGCATGTTTGGGCAGCAGCCACAATCCATGCTGAAATAATTTGATTATTGCCGCTTTAAGTTTGTTTGGTCAAGACCAGAAACTCACACAAGTAACATTTTTAACTTGAATAGCCCTCAACCTTTGGTTGAGGCCTGTCTGGGAAACTGAGTAAAAATACTCAGGTGCATTGGATGATGTCCCTGCATCCCCCCAGATACTCAGAATATTTCTATAATTGTGCTAGTGGTCTTTGGGGCTTATATTTTGCTATCAGAGAGCAGGTTTTGCCTGCAGGAAGATCGGAGACTGTGGAGCACACTGGTTGGATGGTGTAGGGCAAAGAGAAAAATCACAGAGCATTTTTCAGATACAAGAGAAATGGGCTTAAGATCACATTAGAGAACAGAATCTTCATAGCTGATATCAATGCGTTACACAGAGCTGTAAACACACATGGCCATAGTCAACAGAGTAAAACTCTGCTGCAAACACATTTAATACCAAAAATGCTTTTTACATTTACTTATCATTTGTATTCTACACATTCCTTCTGTGAGCTACAAAAGCCAAAATAGAAATAAAATATATTTGCCTAGTGATCAGCAGCAGAACAATCAAACACAGCTCCTTCACCAACCTCCTAACTCAGATCTTGAGAGAAGGATTGGCAGCTCCTTTATCCTTGATATAAAAATGCTATGCATGGTCAGCTCTTCAAAAATGGGAAGCTGAGAGTCAGATCTATCTCATCTCAAAAGCAATAAGAAAATAAAGTAATAACAAGCACACAGAAGACCCAGGAATTGGTTCAATTGCTCAGTATGACAGAAACGTTGCCACATGCAAGTGCCCATAAACTCAATCCTTGGGAACTGCATTTGTCTGTGTGGGTTACAACAGGCCTCTGACTGCCCCCATTCAACCCTCCCAAATTCTGAAGTAGTCTATTTCTATCTCACTGGAAGTTATGTTAAGAGAAGCAGTACTTGAGTACTAAGGGAAAAATTACTATTAGCAATCTGCAGCTTGCCCAACAGCAGAAGAGCTTTCTACTCCTCCTCATATTCACTAGTAATAAAAAAACAAATTTCTGAACATCCAGGTTTTTCTGGTTTAAGGACTCACCCCAGGTAGCAAAATAGCAGCATAAGCAGGGGCCAGTTAGGAAAGGACAGAGGATACATGAGTGAAGACCCAATCACCGCTAATGATGTCAGCAGAGGGTGCTTCAGTTTCTCTGTTATTCAGCCCTTTGATATCATTCTTAGCATTTATTTTATCCTCCAGTAAGTTTTGTTTATTGAGGTGATCACATGACCCAGGTGTCTTAAAAGAACAGCTGTCTTCTGGCTTCAGGAGAAAGAGGTTTAATCTGATTAGCCTTAACACCTTTTCAGTATGCTGTGTATAACCACCTGACTACAATCTTCTAGGACGTTAAAGAACAGGCCCCTTTGCTTTTAAAGCCAGATTTAAAAGCCCTAGCTGAGATATTGAAGAGCTTACCACTGTACTTGAATCTGGTCCTTTACCACTATTTCATCAACCTGCTTATGTAGTTTCTCAGCCCTTTCCGAATGATGAAATTAACTTCCAAGAGGATTTCAAGCACTGAGAGCAAAGACTGCGGGGAGAATCATCATGTGCCTAGCTACAAACAAAATCCTTCTGTCAGTATGAAATAAATCATTCATAGAAAAGGTTAAATATGCATATATACTGATAATTAGAAACAGTAACATCAGCCCTTCCCCACCTTTTTTTTATAGGCAATCCAAAAATGCAAACCAAAGTGATTCAGCCAGCAATTCTGTTTCTCTTATTTGAGGAGCTAAATCCCTGTTGGGTGCAGAGGAATATGCAACTGACACAAAGTCAGGTGGCAGCCATGCAGTTTTGCCCGAGTCTTTAGCTGCCAGGCTAATGTTAACAAGATAAAGGAGCCTGAGAGAATGAATAAACAGTACTGACTGAAGCCTTTCCCAAATGAAAAATAAAAGTAATTTACACTCATGTCCTATCTGTGAAAGGAGGGCCCTCAACCAAGTAAAGAACTGTGAGATGCGCTGGCAGGCGATGCTTTTCACCCTGCTCTGGGTCTACTCATTTTAACTGTGGGAGGGGTCCAGGAACCATCATGGGCGGGGCTGGCTGAGCACAAGGCTTGCAGTATTTCCTTATTTCCATTGGAGTCTTTTTGAAATTTATACCTGTAAAACAAAGATGAAAAGGAGAGAAAATGGAGACATGTTTAGTTAGGGGTGTGGAGAATGGCACAAAACTGTAACACCTGAAGCTGAGCAGTGTGTTTGTATGGGCAGGCTTAGATTATCAGTGATCTGAAAATAAAAAGTGATGTGACGGGAATTTTGCTTTTTCTTCTCTCCGTGAGATTGCTGGAGATCTCCCATTCCCAGCATCTCTTTTTCCCTCTACTTAGGCTGCACAATCACTGAACACCTGACTGGTGCTTCTAGAAGTTTCCACAGTCAGATGAAGGTCTTCATAGACACAGGAGCAGAACTACACTCTCTCTAGTGCTTGAGTCCCACAACATTACACAGTATCTTCTCCTTAATATCATCACATTCACCATCTTTCCCAGAGAGAAGCCACAAGCAGACATCAGCTTGAAACATTTGCTTTCTGGAGCAGTAATTGTTTCTGATGGAAGAACAACATTCTAGGAAATCAGTGGTTTTGCTTCAAAAGAAGTAGCCAGTATGGTTAAATTATCCCCCTCCTTAAGCCACACTGTCTCAGCCTCTGAGTGCCTCTGCCGCTGCCCCCGGGCACAAGCCTTGCACAAAGAACAGCACAGAGTAACACCCAAGAACAGCCAGGGTGCCTTGCCTGCAGACAGTATAAAGCAAGTAACACTCTGTTAGAAAAGGCAGCAACATGGAAGCACGAGTCTCACTGTTGTGAGATTACTATCTCACAACAGCAACAACACAAAACCAAGCCACCAGTGTGCAAAGCCAGTCCAGAACTGCACACGATCTGCCTCTTGGTAAGAGTCGAAACTGATTCAGATCAAGCATTTTCATATAAGCAGATTTGTAAGAGAGACAAGCAGCCGTGCACAGCAGGCAGGTGTGCCCTGTACAAAAGCAATTAAACAGCAATCCCTGACCTAAAAAAGACACGGCTACAGTAAACAGGTTGGAGTGCTCAGAGAACCAGGGCAGAGTCTAACAGGGGACAAGCAAAGATCATCAAGTACTATTGGGTCTGCAACAGAGGAAAGCATTCAGATTCCCTCTGTAGGGGATCTTTGCTGTGAATTTGCAAGTTTTAATGGAGTGCTTCCTTTGTACTTCTTTCTCCCCCTCAGCCTAGTACTTTCCCTTACTCTGCAAGACTAATATCACTCCATCCTCCCCATGGAAACAGCACCCTGCTTTCAAAGGAACATTCTCTTTGGAAGCACTTTTTATCAGAGAGATTTCATGGCTGTTGCATGAAAAACGCCTGGAATACCTGCTGTTTTGTCCAATAGTAGAAGGTACTTCAGATTGAAAAGCAATAGCTATGCTCATGGCATGAAATCTCAGTACTTTGGTTCAGCCAGCTAGTACACATGGTCTGTCTCAGGCCAAGAGTGACAAGTGCCACCTCTGTGCATTCAGCATTGCATTCCCCAGTCCTTCTGGATGGGTTGGGAGCTGACAATTGTTTCTGTGGATCGTTTATAGCTGAAATTCTCAGTCGTTATTACACCTGCCAATTAAATAAGAAAGGAGCCCCGAACAGCTACAAACCCCTGTCCCACAGCCATACATCTGCACTGTGTTCACTGCCACAATACCAGTGGGGATGTCTATAAAACAAAGCACAGGGAGACTGGAAGGGAACAAATGTCATCAGCTAAAGGAAAACTGCAGAGAAACACAAGGATTTCCACCTGGGTTACCTAAACATAAAAAGGAACAAAGCATTTAAGGTACTTTACCAGCTGGAATGAATTCACTGGGAACTTCAAATTGGTAATTTTATGATGAAAAGATTAAAAATGGCTAAATAAGTAAGTAGGAAATAGACTATTGTTGATCAAATTAATTTCCTTTAAAGTTTAATTAAAGTTATCAGCTAGCCATTTTAATGAATTCAGAAACTTTTAAGATTTAAAATGTTGTTATCCTAAGGAGCATACTAATCCTTTTATCCTAGACTTGTACGGTTTAGGTTTTTTTTTCACTGGGATCTCACTGAAACCAGGGATATATTATGAACATACAGAAAGAAGCAAACTGAGTGCTTTCAGACTAGTGATGGTGCCGTATCACCATAATAAGGATTTATGGAAGTGGACAAGACTGCCAAAAGATAAAACTGTAATATTTACACAGGGAAAGCACTGATATGATGGCAGAAATACCAATAACTGCTTTAAGAAACACTGATTCTTTCTGCATGAAATCTTTCTTTTGCTATCAACAGTAGGTCTAACGAGAACTGGAAAATGACATTTAATTCTTCCATTGCGCAGCTGAACAAGAAGCCAAATTAACTCCCAGCTGACTTACTCCCTCCTTGCATTATCTTGTTCCAGAGCTAAGCAAATGAAGCTGGTTGCAGCTTTGTGCAGGTACACAGGGTGTTTTAAATAAACAAAAAGGTACACAGACAGGAAATACTGAGCTTGTAGCTGGATGTACTTGCATCTGACTACCAGTTCACTACCAGTCAGAAAACAGGGATAGAAAAATACCAGCGAAGGTTCTAAAAGGACAATTGTATCATTTGAAACTCCCATCCAGAATGTGGCTAATTTAAAAAGCAAGAAAATGCTTTGCCCTCACTTTGAAGACTATGAGTTTTCCGTATTTCCCCTTAGAATAAATGGTCTCAAAAGACTACAGGGTGGCCCTCCCCTTTCACTTGCTCTAGTCAGTGCCCTTAAAACAAGAGTAAAACCTTCTACAAAGTAGGAACTGATACGAACACTTCATGCTTTGATCAGATGATATCGTATCTCTCTTGATTGTTTTACACTGTGAGCATTAAATGGATTCTCTTATTTCTTCCCAATCCAAACACTCAATGTGCTGATTGAGAAAAGAGAACAATTTCTCAGTGGTACAACGAAGATAATATTCACCTGCACAGAAAATTCCGTAAAGTTTGCATGTGGAAAAACCTTGAAGTGCTATAATTTATCTATAATGATTATTTAATTAATATAACGAAACTGTAAATCTTATTACCTTTATGTGCTTTTTTGTTGAGTTTGGGCAGCTTTGAGCAGCAGATTTTTTTAGGTTTCCGACCTAAGGGTGAAAAATAATACATTACCAGTGAAAACAGATACTGCATATAGGTGCACATATAATACAGCAAACAGATTAGAGTCCACCGACATTTTGATTACCGCTGAAATCCTTGAACAGAGAGATCTGTGAAACAAAGGATCATCATGACTGATTTTTACATTTGTACTTTGTCCCTAACATGGAACAAGAATTTGTTCTTTTCCATCACTAGTAAATATGCCAGATACAGTGTGAAGATGTCACATGTTGGCCGACAATCCAAGCTGCAAATTCCAGCTGCCTAAACCTAAGAAAGAGACTCCTCACTCTTTTTAGACTTACATCACTCAGTGAAAATATTAAAGATTACCAAGAGGAAAAAATAGTATCTCTGTGTCCGTATGCGCAGGAGGGTAGAATAAATTGCTTTGGATGAGCAAAGGCATTTAATTTACTCCCTCTATAGTAGACCAAAATAAGTGAGCTGTTGATTGCACTTGACACGTTATGTGCTGGACATAATAAAGGGAGAAGGAAGGTTGACTCTGGAACAGAGGTGGAGCAGAAAGGACAGAGGCAGGTGATTTCTCATCAAAAAATCTCACATATGCTCAACGTTTCTGGAAATCCCTGTGGCCCAATTCTACAGCCAAGGCTAGTGATGGTGGCTGCTCAAGCATCCAAGAAGTTTGAGGTGTCTTGTCACCATAATTTCATTCTGATGTAACAGATTTTACACAAAAACTACATTCATCTTGCATACCCAGGCATGTCTACTTTCCCATCAGTTTGTTTATCGATAAGGGACAGTTTCCTTCGCACATCTCCTCCCCATCACGTTAACAAAAGGGAATACTATTTTAGAATCCTGTGTGTATTCATTTGGGCTTTATTTACTGCTGTTGTCTCCTGTCCTTAATGGACAGGCTTCTGAAGACACATCTAGATATTCCCCAACTTCTTTTGCACTCTTCCTTAGGTTTCCCTCAAAGTGCCTGGCAAACCTGAATAAACAGAAAATGCAAAGGGATCAGGCACACATATGATGACACTGCTCTAGCACTCATTTCCCTTACCGCTGTTCTGGCGCACACTTCTAAACGCAGAAGAGACTCCAGTAAAGGAGAAAAATTGGCAGCTGACTTGACGGGTTTGAAAGACATCTTCCACCTGTTCCTCCATGCTTGCATTTACATACAAAGTGATTCTTACGAGGTTTGTAGATAGTATGATGCACTGCAAAACTCCTACTCCTGATCTTTAGACATTTAGCTTATTTGCTTTTCCTTATACTCATTTGCTACATCTTCTGTAAAATAAACACCATAGAACAATCATGGTGGGTCTCTGAGATTTATGATATCAAACATCAAATCTGAACAGGTAACTCTAAAAGTTACACCTTTGAATTTTAAAATCCTACTAAACCGCAAACCCCGAATAACATCGCCAGAGATGTGGCTATAGACAGATGGAAAAAGCTCTCTTTTCAAGATTTAAACTGCTCTATGAATTTGTACGCTTTGGAATACTGCAAAATGGTAACTGGATGCTACAAGGTAATATAGTAATTAAAGTGGGGAGTATCAGTGGTAAAAAAAAAACAACCGTCACGACAGATTGAAGGTCAGAAGAGCAACTCTCACCAGTTTCACTATTCTATAAAGAACTTTACATTTACTCCAGTTCTGGTGACCTGACTGTTTCATATTCCCTTGTTTCATAAAGGTAGAAACTTTCTCCATTAACGTGTTTCTCACTATTCAGAAAATATATTATTTTTATATTGGCAGATAGTTATCTACTGGAAAAATATAACTGGAAATTTTTCAGAGGAGCGGGTTTCAGAATGCAGATTAAGGTAAAAATTAATCACGCTGTACTACATGCAACAGGCAGTAACAGAGAGGAAACACCACTGCACAAACCAAAGCACTGATGTGCAACCATGTTCTGCAGACCAAGTCCTTTCCTAAATTAATTCTATCCTTTCCAGTTGTCAAGCACTGTTTGTTTTCCTTAATAAAAATCAACATAGAGAATAAGCATTTTGTACCACAAAAGGAAAGAATAGAGAACGGAAGGAGACAGTTGTGTTAGAAGAATATACTGTACCTTCTGCAGTAAAGGCATTGAGACACAAAAGAAGGATAAACAAAAAGCCACAAAATGTCAGGAGCTTCATCCTTCCAACTGGTCAGATGTCTTCAAGGAGGCTGAAGCCGTGTTCTGGTCTGCCTCCAGCAACAACCTTGCCTTTTTATAAGGTTGACTGAAAGGAATGCTGTGTTCAGAATGGGTGGAGATTTGGCCTTTGTATTGCACTTCCAAGGGATGAAAAGAAACAGCCCTTCCTATTATGAGAAGCAGTTTACTCAACAAAATCAGGAAGCCACTAACTGCTTAAGAGAGTGTCCCACCAGTTAAAAAGGAGCACTTGGAGTATTACAGTATACAGGGATTCTCTGATGTACAGTGGTTGTTCTCTGGTTCACAGCAGCCTCCTTACGTGACCTTGTGTGCTCCTTTGGGTACTTGGAAAGGCACAGAGCACAGCTGAAACAACGGTGAACTGGAAGTGAAAAGGTAAACCAAACCTAGAGTGTTTATATCAAAACAATTGCCAATGTGTTGTTAACATAATTAACAGGAGAGCTGGTTAAACAGCAGATTTCCGAGTTCATTATTAACTTCTCAGTATCTATTTTATCTGGATAATTAAGTCTGCTACAGAGTTTCCATTTAACAATCAAGATTAAGAAGTCCATCAAATTCAACAGAGTATCAAGGTTCAGAGAACATGCACTAAAAAAAAAAAAAAGGAAAAGAAGTTCTTCAAGCAGAGATCAACTGCAGAGTTGAGACTCTAGACTCTCAAATAATGCAGAAGTCTAGGTTTGGCAGCAGCTAATTCTCACAACTTATTCTGGCAAGATTTGGGTCTCACATACAAGAATACACTGTGAGCTACACAGCCGTAAGAGCTGGGAGCAGTACCTGGAAGCTGCTCAGACTTGGAAGTGCAGCAGGACAGAAGGCTTCACCCTGGTGCATGTACATTGCCACTCTTCCCTACCCTCCCATTTTCAAAGGCTTCATATTTCAGGTTTTGGATTTGGCTTGTTTCTTGCACTGGATAAGCTGCCTTCCAAATCAGGTCACGCCTTTATCTACCAATTTTGGCTCCAAAAGCTTATCTCTACATTCCTATCTAGCAACATCCAAATATTGTAAAGATTGCTAATGCCTGACACTTTTTTTTTTTTTTTTTTTTTTTTTTTTTTTTGGCCAAGGCTAACATTAGAAAGGCTCGAGGATCAAACCACTAACACCACTTGCTACAGATTGTATTATCTTCAAAGTGCTTTACAAACCACCCTGCCTCACCATTGGCACACCTCAGTCATTCCGACTCTAGTGAGGGTTTTAGTTCACATCACTGCTGAGCTTCTCAGAAAATACTGTTACAGTTCAGTCAATGATGCAGAGATAAATGAATGGCACAACAGAGCATCGATGTTGTTTTTATGATCTCAGGCTTCTTTCAAACAGTTGAAACATACAGACATGAGCCCCCATCTTGTACTTCTAAAATCAACATTTTTGCTGGTTGACACAGAATCAATCCTTTAATTTGTATCGAAATTCTATACTCTATAGAAATGGTTAAAGCTCTCATGCCAAAAAAATCTTATTACTTATTCTGACCATTTTAAAGCTTTTTACTCCCCAAACCAATTTTAATTTCACCAATTTTAAGATGGTTATTTCTTAGATTTACACTCAAGGTCTTCTCATGCTTCTCTGTTAACATAGAACTATCATCTCCCTCTCCGCACCCCTCAAGAATGACTCTGTTGATATTAGGATATTTTTGTTGATAAGAGAAAAATAAAAAAGGAAAGTCGCATCACTGAGTGCATCTCAGTTCTGCCTCTTAAAATGGCAGCTGCCTCATCCAACTGGCTTTCTTCCTTAAACATAAAGGTGAAGTAAAAAATAAAATAAATCTTAAGAAACTGGCACACATTAACTCAAACCTACTAAGACTTTACACCTGTGCTGGGTTTGGCTGGAGTAGAGTTAATTTTCTTCCCAGTAGCTGGTCTGGGGCTGGTTTGGATTTGTGCTGGAAGCAGCACTGATAACACGGGGGTGTTTTCGTTCCTGCTGCGCAGCGCTTGCACAGAGTCAAGGCCTTTTCTGCTCCTCACCCCACCAGCGAGTAGGCTGGGGGTGCACAAGAAGCTGGGAGGGGACACAGCCAGGACAGCTGACCCCAGCTGACCAAAGGGACATTCCATGCCATGTGATGTCCTTCTCAACATGTAAAGCTGGGGGGAGAAGAAGGAAGGGGGGGATGTTTGAAGTGATGGAGCCCTGCTCCCCTGGAGATGGCTGAACACCTGCCTGCTGATGGGAAGCAGTGAACAAATTCCTTGTTTTGCTTTGCTTGTGTGCACAGCTTTTGCTTTACCTATTGAATGTCTTTATCTCAACCCACGACTTTTCTCACGTTTACCCTTCCAATTCCCTCCCCATCCCACCAGGAGTGAGAACGAGTGAGTGGCTGTGTGGGGCTTAGTTGCTGGCTGGGGTTAAACCCTGACAATACCCAAAGAATTTTTTATGCCTTTTTTAGCATTGAATAGAACCATCGCCTTCTCTTCCTGTGTGCATGACAAGATATAAAAAATGAACACAGAAAAGGAAAGTAACCAGGTGAGTTGGAGACGAGTTGCATAAGAGAACCTCATCACATGATGGCTACTGACGTTTCCAGCTATGTTCATTTAATTAAACTGGAAAAGTGTTGGAATGCAAATGCACTACAGCTGCTGCCAACACCTACCTCAAAAAAGACACATTTTTCTTCTGAAATGTTTACAGCAGAATATTGGCAACAGGAGTGTTTACAAAGACTTATTTTTCTAAATATAGATAATTGCAGTGTAACTTTATCATCCACCTCAAGCATGTGCTACTTGGACACCCCATTTGTTTTCTCCTTGGAAAAGGCAGGCTGCTACTCGGTCTCTGCTGTTACAACAATCCAAGCCTTCCAGCTATTGTGATACCGACACAAACTTGCAGACTTACCACTGCACACCAAATACCCCTCAGAGGGGAAACGGAGCAGGTGGTGGGAAGCTCTGCTGCCTGCCCAGGGGAACAGTTTCAAATGGTTTACACTTTTGCCTTTCAGCTTGCGCTTGTATTTCTGAGTTCAGAGAGGCTAAACCAACTGCTTGCTTAAAAGAGCACAAAGGACTTCACCAGATGAGTCTGAAGTGTTGCCCAAAAACCTCCAAGTCTGCTTGCTACCAAGGGAAACTGTCCCAGCTTTCGTTGAGCAAATAGGAAGGTGCTACCTACAAAGTGTTTTTAGCCTCAGACCAGAGAGGATCAGTGACTGCTGCTTTGAAGCGTGGCAGAGCAGTCCATTTCTGTATTTTCTCTTCTCCAACATGTACAGCATCTGCAGCCTACATACTCTCATCCATTCTGTTGAACACACATCACCTCCTGTAAGAGAAACTATTCTTAGTCTTATGTTATTTGATTCTTAATCATTATTTCACATAATCTGCTTATTACCTTTGCTATTGCTGGCTCCCTGTGTCCCCTACTCAGCATGTCTGTGCCAGTAACTATGATCATATAGGTTATCTTTTTAAATGTCTGCTCATCTGGTGTTCGCAGTCACCTGCAGTTTTCTGCCCTTGATACTGTTCTCTTTTCATATTGCTTTCTCCCCTTCTGTCACTCCCATGCCTTTTTCCTTCTCTGTCATCCAGTTCTGCCCCAGTCTCCTATTTTCTTATGACCTGTTAATAGGTGAACAGTATTTTTTATTGGAACTGTTTAACCACCACTTAAGCTATTTTTTTCCAAGGCATGAGTCTGCTTTTTGGCAGAAATATTTTGACTTTCCAATAAAACGCAAGTGCATGAAAACCTAAGTGTTCTTTTGTTTTTTTGAACCAGTCTCAAATCACACACATGCTTAGACTCTCACCATTCCTCATGGGAGAGAAAGTACAAGCATAAAATTTCCCACTCATCACGTGGGCTAAACTGCCCATTCAGGTTAATCTCTCATACTACATTGTAACTAGAAACCTTCTGATGCAGACAGCAGAGTGAAACAGGTTAGCTTTTGACATCTTGTAAGAAGCTGGAGCTCTCCATCGAGAGACAGAAAGGTTTGTCTCGCCATTCCCAGTCTCCCCACCAAGCTGAAGCTGCTCTCACCCCCTGCCAGAAGCCCCCTTACCCCCCCAGCCTCAGCAGCAGCCCTGTCTGGGTTTCACAGCACGCCCCCGCCGCCCGGCTATTCATCACAGCAGTCACCCTGCTGTAGCCAAGCCAATTCCCATCAACTGCCTTCCCGAAAACCATATATTTCAAGACTACTTCCCTGTCCCTCCTCATGACTGCAGATTTCCATTCCCCTCCTTCTTTGCATAGGCAGGCCTTGTGTTCTGTACATACCAACAAATACACCTACATACTTCAGAGTGACTCAAGTTAATGTGCGTTTTGGTTTGTTTGGTGTTTGGTTTTGGTTTTTTATTTTTTTTTTTTTTAAACTTGGTATCTACTCAGGTGTTTGTTAAAATCCCCTGCTTTCCAAGGGGACCTTCAGAATGAGAAATACACTAAGGAACACCAGAGCTATGGCAAAAGTTGAGACTGTAATTAAATTAGCATCTCATAAACTGGGACTACAATAGACTCAGTATGCTCTCATGCACTATGGAAGGCAGCAATTCAAAGTGGTTTCAATAATCAATTTTAAATTATGATTTTAAAAAGCAGATTTTAACATCCACTCTTAATTTTTTTTCCCATTTATACACATTCATTATTTCCCTAAGAAAACATTTATCAGAGTACATTTATATAACCATAACTTGTCACATCAATTTTTACAAAATATAGCCTTTTCCTATGAGGTACTACTACTTTTTGCACACTTGAAGGAGGTGTAAACACTTCTTTTCACATGCAGAGAGCTCAGTACATGCTTATTCTGCTTTCAGCGTTCATAATTTTAATACATTAGATTTACCTACTAGAGAATTAAGTAAGTTTTTAATTTGTGATTTTTGCAAGGCTCTGCTCGCTTAACTCCTACCTACACAGCTGACAGTCCCCCTGTTTCCCTGGCATTCAGGATCTCCTTGCTGTTGTGGTGGGATGAGTTATTCTTTGATGTTACCAGCTCTACCCTCCCTCCCTCCACTGCTAACATGCTACGCAGGCGT